TCTTCTTTCCCTCTCCTTCTGTTCAAGCTACAAGCTCATTGGTTGATGCCATTCACATCCAGGGTGGGATTCCCCCTCAGTTTGCTGGCCTACGTGTCAATCATCCACAGGCACACCCAGAATTTACTAATCTGCTAGGCAGTTCTTAATGAAGTCAAGGTGACATATCATAATTAACAATCACAGTATGGATGAATAGTTTACAGAAACAGTCAACTAAAACTGTATGTACCAAAAAACCCAAACCAAACCAAACCAAATCAAAACAAACCAAACCAAAACTAAACAAAATCACATGTACCAACAAACCATCTATTCTATAGCTAGGTATAGAGGTGCATAGATTAAGCTAGTGTAGAAAACACATGGCAGAAAACGCAGAGGGAGTATAGCCAATCTAAGGGAGAACCTAGCTAGAAGTACATTATGGAGGATTTATCCAATGAGGAAAAAACTACTTTGGAAATATTTGAGTGGAGTGAGCCAAAAGCAGAAGTAGGATCAAGGAAAGAAATGCATAAGTGAAAAAACACCCAGTTTAGTGTAATATATAAGGGGAATTCACTCTAGGAGATAACTTAGTGGATTCATGGGTGAAATCTGCCATCAGTCTAAAACAGGGAAAAGCATAATGTACAGATTTTTAAGGACTTTCTGCCTTAGGGAGGAATACGACATACATGAATGTATGAGGGTGCAAAAATCCTAAGGTAGAAACTAGCAAGAGATGTATGAGTGAAGGGAACATACAGCTGAGGGGAGGACTTTGCAGGGGTCTACACTGAGTATATACAGAAAGTACAAAATGGTGAAAGATGCAGTCAGCCTAGGAGTCAGCCCATTAGGAAGTACATAGTAGAACAAAGAATAAATTCTGGACTAGGACTTAGCAGGAGATGTATAAAGAGATGGAGCACTCAGATTAGGGGCAGACTTAAAAGAGTATTCATTATTAATTGATCATGCCAGTCTAAGAGAATAAATGATGAATGATTCACAGTTGAAGAGTTCAGTAAAGTTAGCTGAAAGAAATAGGAGATACTTGGGTAAAAGGGTCATCTAACCAAGAAAAACTCTGCAGGAAGTGTATGTCATAGATCATCCTACTGTGGGATATAAGGATGAGATGTGCATGAGTAGAATTTGCATTTAGGCTGGGATAGAAATAAAGAAAGCCTCTAGTAGGAGAAAGCAGTTGTGTTAAAGGAGGACCCTGCAGGAAGTGTATGAGTTGAAAGCAATTACCCCCCAAAAAGACTATGAAAGTAATGCAAAGGGAGACAATAGGGCCAATCTGGGTAGGATACCTTAAAAGTCTATGGAGGCAGCATCCTGTCTAGAGCAGGTCTAATCAGGAAGTTCATGGAATGAAGAGTGCCATTTAGGACCTGGTAAGTGGTGCATAGTTTAATGGTGTAGATGCCCTATTTGGTGATACATCAGTGGAAGTTATTGTCATGGGATGACTCAACTGGAAGCGCATGATTCGAGGTTGTAGCAATATAGAGAAGGACCCAGTCTTAATTTGATTATGGTGGGACAGCCAGTATAGGGGGGCTACAATAGGTACCCTATTTGTTAAGAAAACAGTTACAGAGGAGAATGACAAATTCAGGGACTGCAGTTGCTTCCAGCCTATCACACAACATTAAGGGAAGTGCAAGGTGGAGCATGCAATAAATGCAAATATAGAAGGTGCAGCCAGCCTAAGGGAAGACATGGCACTAAGCACATAGGTCAGTAGCCTAGGAAAAAGTCATCCAGGAATTGCAAGCCTGGAGGGAACGTCCCAGCAAAGGCTGGATTCAACAGAAATATCAGAGATGAGGGAGAAGCCAGCCTTAAGGGTTCACCAATAGCCACATGGGTGAACATGAACTATTGTGCTATCAATTAAGAAAGATGACAATACTATATTTAATTTAAAAAGTGTAAATAAACAGAAATCCTTAACATTTACAGAAATGTAGGACTTATTTAGTTTAAGGAGGCCAACTAATGGCAAGATAAACTGAAAAATAAAGTGTATGATATTATTGTGGTGAGATATGGAATCTCTTCTCTCTGAGGAGATTATTGCCGGAGGTAAAGAGTGAACTTTTACAACTGTTTACTAAAAGCAGAGTATCTTGTCAAAAATCCAAGTACTTTTGTCATTTTCACAGACAGAAAACAACTTTCTAGGTTTGTGTCACTGTAATATTTGATTCTAGATAAATTGAAAGCTCCTGTTCAAGAGTCTTATAAATAAGCTCATCAAAACTGAGTCAGATTTTGTAAAGTTCTCACAGAGATTTTTATTCCTTCTCAAATTTTCTGGTCAGCAAGATAAAAATTCTTTTTACTTTGACAAAATGAGATGGTCAGAATAATTTAGTTTCATTTATGCATGATAAAGAAATTAGAGAGGTCTGCTGCACAACGTTTGCCTATGGTTAACAATACATGCTATATAATTAAAGTGGAAATGGTCCAACATCATGTGTTTTTACAAAAAGAATTACATTTTTGTATGGCTAATCAATAACTGGAGTACTACACTATGTGATCAATAATCGTGTGTCACTTTAGGAAAAAAAAACATATCCAGACGGAAAAGAAAACACTTATGTCAAAGTTTAACACTGATAAATCAGAAAAGGTATAGTTATTTTCATGAAGCATTAAAGATAAAGATTTTTGTCAAGTATGTAAATAAATTACATAAATTAGAATTCTTAAAATTGATCAGAATTAGTTTCTAAGAGAATATATATACATATGTATATATATAGTAATTGAGTATATGTAAAAAATCAAATATTCAATTTTCTTATTTTCATGGAATTTTAAAACTAATCAATTGTAAGCGATTAATTATGCATGTCAATTGAAATGGAGCTTCTTTCACTTTAAAGAATTTATAATGAAGTACATCAATACCATATGGAGACAGAAAAACTTTATTTACTCCCTCTATTAGTTTTCTCATCATTGGGATACATTACTTGACACCCACAATTGAAAGTATAAGACCTTTAATTTGGCACACAGTTTCAGGGAATTCAGTCCATGGGCAGCTGGATCCAAAGGAAAAACATAGTAGAAGTGTGTGGCACAGAAAACATGCTTAGTTCCTGGTGGCTGGAAAGCACAGCATGGAAATAGTGTCAGAGAAGAAGGGGCCAGGGACTATATTTAGTGCCCCAGGTCTTGCTTCATATCCAACCTAGACACATCCAGAACTGTGCTCAACTAATCCCATGGGAAGTTTCCAAACCAATCAAGTAGGCACAAGTTACATGATCAGAAGTAAAGGTTAATGAAATTACAGTCTAGTAGATATTTTGGGATGGAGACACAGTACTTTTTAGCCATAGGTCAGGAGTAAACACAAAAGAGTAAAACTCCTTGATAAAAATATCTAAAACTGTTCTCCTTCTGGACAGCATGAAATTCCTTTTATATTGATCCAAAAAGTAGACAAACTACTAAAAACCTGACAAAACAGATTGTCTGTTTTCTCTTAAATAGTAGAGAACATATTTTTGCAAATCATTAACTATTTATAGAAACATACACAAGGTTGGATCATAAAAAATTTCAGCACATAACCGAGTAGTTGTACTTTTTATTATATATGCAAGGAAACTGAAGACATGCATTCACACAACAACTTGCACATGAATGCCCATGGCAATATTACTTATAATAACAAAAAGGACAAATAACACAAATGTCCATCAACTCTTAATGGATAAGCAAAATATGGTATAATGTATGCAATGGAACATTTTATAGCCACAAAATAAGGAAGTCCTGATAGACACTGTGATGTGGATGAATCTTGAAAACATTATTCAAAGTGAAAATTAAAATTAAAAATCCCCAAAATGGTAGGCAAAATGAAAAGCAACTGATCAGCTATAAATGAACAGAAATAACACTAATGTTGAGATAAGAAAGCAAAATTTGTAAAGAGTCCACAAAGTTCTATGGGTGAACACGTACTTAAAAAGCAGGAAAAGGATGTAAACATGATGGAGAAGTAAGGCGATTATTGGTTACACAGCTCTACTTAAGTAAATTAATTTGACAGGTGAGGCTATGTCCTCAAACATATGTAAAGATAATTATCAAAACATGCAAAATTATGACACTCCTGTAGATATGGCTATATATTAAAAGAGTAATTCCTAACTATATGACATGCATTAAATAAACAGGAAGATAGTATAACCAGTAAAAAGGAGAATCAAAAAACATAAATATGAAGACTAATCAGGTATGCTGAGATGAAAATACAAGTGATGGAAAAATTTTGATTACTTCTAAGACAGGAGGGAAACTGAAACTCTACTACACGTTGTGTGCTTATTAATGACTACAACATACAGAGTTGTAAAAATCTTCAGAGACCAAGGAAGTCTAGAAGTAAATCCATAGGCAAGGCAAAGGTTTCCCTTGAATAATGTTCCTGTTAGAAACTTAGAGTCTAAAAAAATATAAGGTAACCCTCAAAGAGAGGTAACAGAGTGAGCCTAATTCATGAGACAGATTTACTGCTGTCATAAATATTTAAATGGATAACCAAAGATAAAACAAAAAGATATTCATCATGAATGTGCAAGTAAGGGTATAAACGGAAGGAAACTTGTTTTGTTTGGACCATGATCAGTGACACAAAAGGTCCTCAAGTGGGAAAGGTATTCTGTAGTCCTTTCTGGGCCAGTGGCTTACAGAGGAATGCAAAGCACTCAAAGGCAATGCAAGGCTGTGACCCCAGAAACTGAATAGTATGATAAACAACAGGTATTGTTTTCATTGGAACAGAAGATTTCCATGAATGTGAAAATTTAGTAGAAGAAAAGAGTTCCCTCACAAATCTATCCAGGGACTAGGGCCACTAGCTTCATATCATGCACCTGCTGAGACAGAGGGCAGGCCAGACCTGAGTGGCCACCAATGACATCACTTAGCCCACAATGTCACAAAGCACCCTCCTGACCCATAGGAGGTACAGAGTGGCTGTAAGCTCAGTGACTCTGCGAGGCTAAGGCCAGAAGACACGTTCAGGCTGGGGCAGCCGCTGTCAAAGGCGATGGCTGGCAAGAAAAGTCGGAGGAAATCCCACAAGTCCAGGAGGCAGGCGGTGTCCCGGTCTTCAAGAGCGGAGCTTCAGTTCCCCGTGAGCCCCGTGGAGCGTCACCTGAGACAGGGGGGCTATGCCCCGAGGCTGTCCTCCACCACAGCAGTTTTCCTCGCTGGTATTCTGGAGTACCTGACAGCAAACATACTGG